TATATTTCACTCTAAAATGACACATTGTTTCTAAGTTTTCTTCTATACATAGTTTCATTTTTCTCACCAACATTTAATTTTCTGATCTACCTGGAATTTATTTTAGAGTAATGAGTAGAGATTTATGCTCATTTTCTCCCTCAGATGGCCAGTGAATTATCCTAATGCCATTTCTCAATAACTCGTCTCTTACCCAACTACTTTGAAATACTACTTTATATATACTAGTGTATTTGAGTCTATTTCTGGACTCTGTAAAATTCATTGTCAGTAACAAACTGTTTTAGTTACCAAGGTTTGATAATATATTTTAACATGTTGGCATTTTTTTCATATGAACTTTTGTGGCTTGTCTAGTTCCCTCCCAAGAATCCAATGGTATTTTTATTGAAAGCCATTAGTGTTCACTAATATTTGGTTCTTTTCTGATCCTTGCACATACGAAAGACTGCATTGCTTTGCCTCCTTGCATTCAAGTGGGGTTATGTGATTAGTCTGGCCAGTAGCCATGTGTCATGTGATGTGTCCAGGCCAAAACATTAATTGCTGGAATGTGACTACCTCCTTTCTTCTCCTGCCATGGCCTCTGAGGATGGTGCTTCCTTCAGATGACAGAGATTGGGGAGTTTCAATCCCTGAGCAACGTGGGGGATAGAGCCTCCTACCAGCCAACAATGAAAATATGGCATGTTTGAGAAAGAAACCTTTGTTGTGTTAGCCGGGGGGATTTCAGGGTTACTTCGTAACTGCAGCAATCTTGGGCTGTTCTGACTAATATAACTAATAATGTAACTTAAAGGCTAATTGAAGATAGAACTGCTCTGTTTATAATTCTAAGACCTCCTATTGAATAATAGAGGATGTCTCTATAATTAAGTAAGTTTTCTTTTATATCCATCAAGGCTGTAAAGTTGTATTCATTTTTTTTTGTTAAATTTGTTTCTAATTGTTGTTAGATTATTAAGTATGAAATGTCTGATTTCCTTAAGTACTAAGTTTGACAGTTGATATTTCTGACATTTCACTTTGACGCTTCTTGTTTTATTTTTACTGTGAAGGTACATCCTCAGTTTTGCAAATGTATGGTTTGGCTTGTGATTATCCTTAAAATGTTTTTTTTAGAGCAATTTTTGTGAAACCATAGATAAGTCAAAAATTCATGTTATTTTTGAATATGAGTTCCATTGTGGAACCAATGCAGCACAGACAGCCCTAAATATCAATGAAGTGTTTGGGAAGGATGTGGCTAATGAACTCACAGTATGTCAATGGTTTGAGAAGTTCTGGTGATTTTAATACTGAAAATGAGCCACATGGACAACATGAAGGTGAGGGTGAGAGTAAGGGTGAGGGTAATATTGGACCATATGAAACAAATGGGCAACATAAAGAAGCTGGATAGATGGGTACCACATGAATTAAATGAGTGTCAGAAGAGAAATCGTCTCAAAGCTTGCCTTTCTTTGCTGTCGCGACATAAAGGCAAATGATTTCTACACTGTGTTGTTACGTGTGAAAAATGGATTCTGACGATCGCAAGCGTTTGGCACAATGGCTGGATAAAGATGAAGTGCCAAAACACAGTCCAAAACCAAATATTCATGAAAAAAAGCTAATGGTGTTTGGTGGTTCAGTGCTGGTATTATCCACTACGGCTTCATGCAGCCTGGTCAATGGATTACAGGAGATGTCTACTGCAGCCAATTGGATGAAATGATGAGGATGCTTGTGATTAAGCAGCTGAGATTGGTCAATAGAGACAGGCCAATACTTTTGCAAGATAATGCTTGACCACACGTCACACAAACAGCGCTGCTCAAACTACAGAGTCTGGCCTTGGAAACTCTCTGTCATCCACCATATTCACCAGACCTCGCGCCAACCGACTACCACTTCTTCCAGGCTTTGGACCACTTTTTGCAAGAAAAAATATTTAATTCTCAACAAGCTGCAGAAAACGCCTTTGCAATTTCATTGCCATTCACTCTCCAGGCTTCTTTGCTGCTGGCATAAGCAACCTACCATTGAGATAGCAAAACTGTGTCGGTAGTTTAGATGCATACTTGGATTAAGTGTACTGCTTCTTGTTTGAGATATAATAAACTATACTTT